TCCAGAGGTGCCCACAGCCCTGACTGCTCCTTCCCAGAGCCCCAAGTGCCTCCTTCTCCTTGCGATTCCCTCAGTGCTCTGTCACCTCTGGACACCGCACGTGGAAACGAGGGAGACGTGACGCAGCAGGCTGGCTCTGCCAGGGACCTGAACCACCGCTGGTGAGGGAAACCAGCCACGGAGCCCCCGCGGGATCCTCAGCTGGCCAAAGCCGGGTGGGATTCCGGTGGCCGCACCCCTCCCGCTTCCCATCCGGCTGAGCCCGCACCGCGTCACTCCGGCAGCAGGACATTCCTGGCAGCATCGGTCAGGACACAGGAGCAGTTTGCTGAAGGTGGGATCCAGGAGAGCCGGCTACGGCTCCGCGCAGCTCCCTCGGGTGGCAGATTTCAACAGTAAATCCAATTTTGTTTGACATTAATCCCAACTTTTCAGCCCGCCACAGATTATCCGTTCAGTGATGGCTCGCCACGCGGGAAGAGCTGGGAGGGAAAAGCTTTTTCTTGGTTTCTTTCCAACAGACCCCTCCAAGGGAACATCCACACCCGGATCCGGCCGTGGGGCAGGCACAGGCTTCCACTCCATTTCTGGCACCCACCTCACTGACACCTCAGGGCAGCTGAGTCACATTCAATCCATCTGGAAAATCTCAAATTAGTTCTTCAGCAGAAATCTCAGACCACGGAGTCAGGAATATCGTGCTCAGTGACCCCAAACCGGCTCACAAATATCAACGTCCCCAGTCAAGCTCCTTCCTCTCCTTGGGAGGATAATTCCCAGCTTAATTCACTTCATCACCGCAGTAGATTCCTGTTTTCAGGAATTCTCTGGGTTTTATCCGGCTTTCCAGGTTTGTACCTCTGCTGGCAGCTCCCTGCAAGGAGCTGTGCTGTGACATCGCTGGGTGCAGGAAGGAAAAGGCAGGGATCTAGCAAAATCCCTAATCCCACAAAGAAATCCAGCCGGGAATTTAAGAACTGGTGTGATGCCAGCAGGGCTGCAATGGGACAAGCATCAAGGCAGCTCCGGAGCGGCCCCAGTTCACCCCATGGCACCATCTGAGGATCTACTGCTCTAGGTGACCTGGGAGCAAAAGATGCTGCAAATCCAGGATGCAGCCGGGATCTGGGGCATGTTATGGATGCAGTTCCCATCCCCACCCCACAAGCCAAATGCGCCCCTCACTCTCTTCTCTGTAATTAGGAGCTAATTCCATGTCAGACGTTACTCTTTCCTTCTGCTCATTTTGTTCCCAGAACTCATCCCCTCCCTCCCCAGGAGTCCAAGGGTCCACTCACGGCATTATTTATAGGAATAGCCAATTCCAAGGGCCATGTCACCTCCCCACTGCTCAGACACATAGGGACACCCAGCACAGCCTGGGCACAGGAAGGGCTCCAAGCCCTGACCAAAGTCCCCATGGTTTTGGGATGAATTCCCTGGGGTATTCCCTATCCAGGGCCACAGGAGCTGCTGTGGCCGTGAGCACCCCCAGACAGCTCTCGCCTGGCTGCAGCTGCAGACATTCCCATCAGGTAATCCCGATCCCGTTATCCTGCTCCTCGCTGCACCTTTTCAAGCGGGGTGACTCCTCCCTGCTCTCTTCCCACTCAGAATCCTCCTGGCTGTTTGGGATGTCTGCATAGAATGCTTTTCCTTGGGGTGTGTGTGGCACTTGGTGCCCGGGGCTGGGACACTCCAATGGCAGGTGCTGATGGAGACAGCGCTCCAAACAAGATGCTTTTCAAAAGCCACATTCCCAAATACTTCCTAAAGCCCAGTTGGAACAAGCTTCGTCACCACCACCTTCCCTGCCTGAGAAAACTCAGAATATTCCACTGACAGCAGCTGTCAACAGGAGATTGGAAAAAAGCAAGTCAGTCCCTGCCCATCCTGCTGCCACTTGTTCTATTTCCTTGGAAGACCCAACAGATTGCTCACCCCGCTGCCTGGAGCACCCAAATCTGCTCCCAAGCACTCCTAACTCCTCCAGCTACTGGATCCAGAGGGGGAAAGTTCAAGCAGGGACGGGAATAACAGCCCAGCACCGGTTTGTTTTCTAAATCAATACGATTTTTCAAATTTATTTTTTAAGAATTACTTCTAATATATCTTTTTCACAGAAGGAGGGAATAGGGAATGTTCTCATTCCATCTGTAAACACTGAAATACAGATCTGGGAAACCAGGGAAGAGACACAAAAAAGTGCATTTTACAAAATTATCAACTAAAATATATTTTACATGTATTAACGCTTCAATTTAAATTCTACCGACTGCATTTTTTTTTTCAGTTTCAAAAAATATTTCCATATCTAATAGATTAAAAAAGCAGGAAATCTTTTCATTAGGGATAAGACATTTCAATTCATTTACATGCTGTTTGCACAACAGCATCAGCAACCACGTGAACCTCAATGTCCATGGCCTGAAGCAGATTCAGCATGAGAAGAGTCAGGTTTGTCCTCTCCAGAGCCAGGTCGGAGGCCATTCCGGACCCAGGGCAAGGATAATTTCTCTGCTACCTGGAGAGGAGCCAGGGCAAGTTGGGAGCAGGGAGAGAGGGGGCAGAAGGAGGAATTTCAGAGGTTCCAAGGCCCTGACTGCAGCCCTGACTCCCAGCCGGTGGGTCTCGCAGCATTCCATGTCCAATGGCACTGCCAGAGGGAAATGGCCATGGCAGCTCACCTGCTTCAGGCTGGGGGGCAAAGGAGTCCCCACGGAGCCAGACTGTGGATTTAGGGTTTCCCACCACCTCCCACCCAGCCCGGGGTGCAGCTGCTCCGCTCTCCCCTCACTGCTCTGCCCATTCCCTCCGTGCCACAGGCAGGAGCAGCTCCAATTCTCCAGCCTCCTCCCTCCCAGCCACGGTGGAAAACCATTCCATATCCTCCCCCAGAAACAGTAGAGACCACATTCTCCAACGCCTCCTTGCACCCCTTCATCCAAGTGTCCCCAAAGTGCTGCCACCTCCCACCCCAACAGAGCCCCCCCAGTCAGTCCAAGAGACCCCCCGTGCCAAGAGAATTGTTAAGGAGAGATCCGGGTGATCCCTTTGACACCAACAGTATCTTGAGGTATAAGAGAGAAGACGCTTCACCTGCCAGTTTTTGCTTGCACACCTGGGGTCCCACCTCCCAGAGCTGGGTGTTCCCCCTGGGCTATGCAGGAGGGAATAAACAGGAATTTTCCAGCAGGAATCGCCCACCGGCAGCAGGGAGATGCCCACCCATCGCGGTGGGTTCCAGGTTTGTCATCCCCTCAAACCATCATCTCCGGACACGGTCCCCTCTTTGGTATGTAGAGCAAATCTCTGGAGAACTCCTGCATTCCCAAACTATTCCAGGTAAGGGATTGGATGCTGTGGGGTTCTCTCTTCAGGCCGGGCAGGCGGGTGGCTGTCAGAGCAAGGTGACCAGCCCTGCATCCTGAGGGAATACAGGGAATGCTGCTTCCATGGACAGGACATTAAAGCAGAATGGACTCTTCCACCGTTGAACACCATTTCAGAAGCCCCAGGAGACTGGGAAAACGCAGATCCCTCATTTCAGTGGGCAGCTCCAGCCAGCAGGAGTTGGGTGACACAGGCTCAGCTCTCCTCCTGTCCGGTAGTGCAATCTCAGGCTGGGCTCCCAGCTCGGGGCAGGGACTCCCACGGATTTGACACTGTCCTTTGGTTTGCTTTGGGATTAACTCCAAGTTTGCGTTGAGATACGCTAAGGGCTGTCTGTCTGGGATCTAAGTGCCACCCGGGATCTGTACAGGTAAGGCAAGAGGCAGGACCTGCAGGGCTCGGGCCGCATGGTCCATGCGAACCTTTCCCGATGCACAGGTCCTTTCAGGAGCCACAAAGCCACTTTGGTGAGCTTGCTCGGACACCAGGATGAGTTTGGAGCAGGGAGGCTGCCAATGGCTTTGGCAGCAGGCCCAAGATCAGGACAGTCACATGGGGAGGGAGGGAAATTTTAAAAAGCCAAGAACACGCAAGAAAAGGGTTTGCCAGTTCCCCCTCTGGCTGCTTCCCACTGCACATGCACAGGGATGAGCAGGGACTGTAAATGACATGAAACAAATTGGGAAGGGAGGGAAAACCCACAGCCCCCTGAGCCATCAGAGGAAGAGCAACACTCAGAAGAGAAGAGGAAATGTGGTTCCCACTGGCAGAGCCCACTTTGTGAGTTCCAACCTTCCGGGTGATGTGCACTGGTGGGTGCTGGGCTTTGGGAATGGGGCACGAGACCCTCTGGGCACAGTCAGGACACCTGGGACAGGCCCAGCTCTAACCGTGCACTGGGGTGTAACACCTGCGACCCTGGCAGCTCCCTCTGCTCCAAGCTCCAGTCCAGTGGTGAATCCTGGAGCGGAGAGGTGAGGGGAGGAGAAAGACGAGGGAGAACAGGGGCCAACTCTTCCCCTGATGGAGCAACACCTATCCAAGCATGACACAAGGCCACTCTGCATCCAGGCAGCTCCCAAAGCTGTATTTTGAAGAAGCTCTCACCCACTGGGAACCCTCAGAGTCCGTCCTGCGGGACAAAGGAGACTCTCCTGTGCTCTGCCAAGGAACTGGGCTCAGTTCCCACCGAAACCCCCCGACCTGTCTCAGCCGGACTCGACACTGCACCGCCACATCCCCCCTGCACACCTTCCCGCCTCTCCCAACCGTGGCTCTGCGTCGCTTCCTGCCTTTTATCCCCTGCAAACCTTAGCCAATAGATGCATCTCTAGATACATATATAGATATAGATTTACGTATGCAAATCCCTATATCTATATACATATATTTATTTTATACGTATATATTTTCATTTATGCTTTTGAAACGAAGTGCTGTGCTTTCGACCGCTGCCCTCCCTCCGCGGGCTCCGCTCCTCGCGCGCTCCCGAGTCCCAGGGCGGAGCGCTGGGCGCTCCCACCTGCAGCAGCACGAGGTGAGTCGGGAGTGCCCAGGGGTCCCAGGCCATTGGCTCGTTCCCACCGCGCTCCGGCGGAAGGAGGCTCCTACTGGGGGTTCTTCAGGATGCGCCCGTGCCTGAAGTCGTAGACGTGACGACAGAGGAAAACCAGCTCGGGGTCCGTGTCCTCGGGCACCTTGCGGTGCAGAGGGGTGGAATACTCCTCCGAGGGAGGAACCATGATGGTTTTCCTGCCCGGGATCCCTTCGACTCGACGCTTTGCCAAGGCACAAAATCTGCAGGGCAAGCAGAACACAAGAGTTATCACGGAATCAGGGAATGGTCTGCGTTGGAAGGACCTCAAAGCTCATCCAGTTCCACCCTCTGCCATAGGCAGAGACACCTTCCACTAGCCCAGGTTGCTCCAAGCCCTGTCCAGCCTGGCCTTGGACACCGCCAGGGATCCAGGGGCAGCCACAGCTTCTCTGGGCAACCTGTGCCAGGGCCTGCCCACTCTCACTGGGAAGAATTTTTCCTAATATCCAACCTAACCCTTCTCTCCATAAGTGTGAATCCATTCCCCCTAGTCCTGTCACTCCAGGCCCTTGTAAATCTCTCTCCATTTTTCCTGTTGTCTCCTTCAGGTACTGAAGGGGCAATTAAGTCACCCTGGAGCCTTCTCTTCTCCAGGCTGAACAATCCCAACTCTCTCGGCCTTTCCTCACAGCAGAGCTGCTCCAGGAAAAGGAGGCTCAGGGGAGACTTTCTGGCTCTGCAACTCCCTGACAGGAGGGGGGAGCCGGGGCGGGCTCTGCTCCCAGGGAACAAGGGACAGGAAGAGAGAAAATGGCCTCAAGCTGTGCCAGGGGAGGTTTAGGCTGAATACTGGAAAAATTCCTTCATGGAAAGGGCTGTCCAGCCCTGGCACAGCTGCCCAGGGCAGTGGTGGAGTCCCCATCCCTGGAGGGATTTAAAAGCCATGAGGAGGAATGGTTGGACTTGACAGTCTCCAAGGGCTTTTCCAGCCCAAACGATTCCATGATTCTACACAACCTGCACGCAAAGAATCCGCAGTGGGAGAAGCCCTCAGCCTGCAGCAGAGCGAGTGTCACTCCCCCAGCCCTGCCCCACCACAGCCCGAAGGGCTGGGACACTCGGGATGGCTGGAAGAGCGAGAAGAGCTGGAGGCAGGGGAGGTTTTGGAAGTCCAGAGCTCCACCTACCTGCAGTACTCTGCGAAGGTCAGCACGTAGCACTTCTCCTCGATGCAGGCGACGCTGTTCTCGTCCTGATGCCGGGACGCAAAGATCTCATTCTGCAGGAGGGAGGGAAGGAAGGAAGAGGTCACCCTGCCTGCCAGGACCAGCCCCACACACTCCCCCAGCACCCCACGGGGCAGTCAAAGCACACTCACAGCAAATACTCTTTAGACCAGTATTCCACATAACCCAGACACCTTCCAGGTGTTCCCGTGCACTGGAATTTTATGCAGTAACACGTGAGCAAAGCAGAGTCTCCTAACACTCATCCCTGGCCAGCACACTCTGTGAGGCCTGGTGCCCAAATCCCACACGTATTTCCAATCTTACAAAGCTCTGCAGCAGCCAGACCACAGCCAGCTGCACCCCTCAGCCTCCCCTGTCCTCCTGGATTCTCTAATCCATCTTTATATCAAAGCTAAAGGAATCCCTTCCTCATCCCAATTCAATTAAAAAGGCTGGTTTAGTGATAGAAAACAGCAACAGTCTTTTCTGGAATCATGGAACAGAATCCTGGAATGGTTTGGGTTGTAGGGGACCTGAAAGCCCATCCAGTGCCACCCCCTGCCATGGGCAGGGACACCTTCCACTAGCCCAGGTTGCTCCAAGCCCTGTTCAACCTGGCCTTGGACACTCCCAGGGATGGGGCAGCCACAGCTTCTCTGGCCAAACTCCCCTTCATTTTTTCCCCAGAGTAATTTAGGGAACTTGGCTCTGCTGTAGGCAGGATTAGTTAAATATGGGGCAACCTGGATGGAACCACTGGAAAGAATTCCAGGTGTGGTTAGATCAGCAGAGATGATGATCTCTGTGAATAAGGATTCCCTGCAGGCTCCATTTCTGCTCCCAGCCCCGAGGAAGGAGGCTGGAAGGGAAGACTCACAAAGGGTGACCATTTGGGGACAGGGTTGATCAGGGACACTGGGAATGCCACACCTTCCTTCTGCACCTTGGGGTTCTGGTTTGCTTCTTAAATCAAAACTCTCTGAGTCACCTCTGGCAAGCTCAGCCCAGCCCAGCCCTCAGCCCAAGCTCTCTCTCATTTGAAGGCCTGTATAATTAAGCAGGTTTGCAAAACCCTGGCTTAATTCCTCCTGGCATTCTCCCTGGACTAAAATGAAACTGGATACACTCACCTGTAATTTACAAAGTACCACATTTGGGTTTAGAAACTCACCTGTGCCCTGCAAACCAGGCAGGTGCAATTCCCTGGAAGGTGCCCAGTCCTGCTCTCCCCCCTCCCTCCCCTTCTATCTAAAAAAAGGAATAAAAATGGAAAAAAGCACCACGTATTTAAAATTGTGTTGAAAACAGCAGTAAGTTCTCCATTCCCAGTTAAAACAGCTTGTTCTGTCACCCAGCACAAGCCCATGCAAAGCACAGCAAGGCTTGAAGTCACAGTGATTCACAGGTTTTTCCTTTGAAAAGCAGCTCCATTATCCTGGCACGGCATCCTTGAGCCAGACTTTAGTTCTCCTCAGAAACCTCTGCAGGGCAAGGACGATGAACCCACGCTCCTGCACAAAACTAACTTGCTTCTCAGAAGCAGATTAAGGGATTTATTAAAAGGCAGCACATGGTACAGGCACTCCAGTGTCCAGCAAAATGGCAGCAGGAGCACTGAGCTCTGTGGGCATTAGAACATCCTTCCGGAACAGCACCTGATCTTGATTCAGTAGAAACTCACTTTTCCTTACTCCTAAGGTAACAGCCAAAGTGACTTTTCAGTTAATACATGGAATTTTCTCAGATTAAAGGGAGAAACACTAAAACTCAGCAGAGCAGACCACATAAGGAACACAAGAGTTCCCGCTAGAGCCCAGAGTTTCTCCACAGGACCCTAAATTTGGGGGGAAAAGCCCATCTGTAGGACACCACCACTGGACACATCTGGTAACACCCGCACCATAGCCCAAAGAGCTCTGTTGTACTCAGTTTGAGGCCACCCAGGAATGCAGGGAGATGCTTGGGGTGATCCCCTATTCCCACAGGAACACAGCCATGCCGGGATGCCCCTGGCTCGGATCCAGACTCACCTGGTGCATGCTGGGGTTGCGGCCTCCCTGAGTGTGCTCTGGTCTGTAATACCACAGGAGGCTCATCATCAGCTCCCCTGCAACAACACCCATCCAAACACATCAGCCCGCAGTTTTCTGGGAGCATTTTCCTGCCGATTCCCAGCTCCCCCCGTTCCCACAGTGCTCAGGGAGTGGCAGCTGCGAGTGATAAATATTTCATGCTGAACTGGGTGCCCTTTTGTCACAGGCTGGAGTCAGTCACGTGGCTTTCCCACTACACCTTCACCTCCTCCTTCCTGGGTCACAACATCCCAAAGGGGTCAGTTAGGCACAAAAAAACCCCGGAGGATTTTAAAAAAATTAATATATATATATATTAAAAAAAAAAAAAATCAAACGTTTCCACCTGGAAAAAGAATCCATTCAGCACACAAGCCGGAAAAGACGCTCATGCAGAGGTGGGAGCTCACAGCATTGGCTCCCAGGTTCAGGTCAGAACAGCTGCTGGGATGACATAACCAGGATAGGCCTCGCCACACCTGGATTTATGTCTTTTACATGGAATTTCTTGGGATTTTTTTTTTTTTTCCCCTTTTAAGGGAGACCTGTAGTTTATAACATTTAGCTCATTCTCCTTGGCTCAGGCATTGCCAGCCCTCACCATAAACCCCCACTACTCCCATCACCACCTCTACAGGGGGCCACCAGGAGCTGCTGTGGGACAGCCCCTGCTCCCACCAGCTCCCAGCCCAGACGTTGGATTGGAGCAACCAGCAGCTCCCCAAAGCTTGCTGCAATGGAATAATAAGGGAGATGGCTGCTCAGATGGGCACTTGGCAGATATTATGCGCTTTCACATCCAGCAAGATTTCCATTATCAGTCCCGGACTAGTGATTAAGGAGCATTTCGGTTCCCGGAACAATCCAAATGGAATTCACAGAGCTCATCTCCTCTCCATCCCCTGCTACCCTCCCAAGCCTGCAGCTCTCCCCAGATCCATCCCCTCCCAGCTTCCACTCCCGCTCTGCGGAGCTCAGAGGCAACACAGGCTCTCTTGGCACAGTACCTGTCTTGGGGTCTTCCCACAGAGCTGATATCTTGGCAACGTAGGGCATGGATTTCTTGCGGGGCCCGGATTTGAGGAGCACGGTGTCGCGCACCCGGATGATCTCCCCGTCCCTCTCCACGGCCTGGTAGCTCTTGCGCATGGCTGGCTCGGGCTCGTTCTGCAACACACAAACCACAGCCCTCCCACTGAACGGGCACAGAGCCACTCCGGGGTTTGCTCCCCCAGTCCAGGACTCCTTTTTCCTCCTGTGAATTCCAACCCAAGCCTCCTCAGGGCTCAGCGCTCCCATTCCAACAGATCCCCAGGAGAAGCCACACAGCGTAAGATACCACCTGTGGCGTCTCCGTTCCCACCAGGATGGTTCATAAACACCAAAGATCAGGCCAAACGAGTTCCTTTTTCAATGGGTTGGGCATTCCCAGGTAAAGGGAGGTCACTGAGGACCAGCATCCAAGGCCTCCAGGCCATACATGGCCATTGCTTCCACATAAACCAAACCCCAGCTATTCCTGCTACATCGTGCTGGGAGTGAGGAGCAGCTCACCAGCAGGGCAGCCCTTCTCACAGAAGCCCTTATTGCTGCAATGAATACTCTTATTTCAAATTAAAGCACATTTGCTCTTTCAGTTCTGCACTGAAAACCACAATCTTCAGGAAAATCATCTTTTCACCTGCCTGTCTGGAGGTCTGCTCTTCCTTCCCATTTAAGGGCACAGACAGCTAGGTGTGTTTTGGATGCTGTGTGTTTGTCTGACACAAATATTGTCAGGAAACCAATAAAACATGAAATACTTGACACGAACAGGGCAGGGATTGGCAGGGAGGCCGTAGCACAAAGCTTTCCCTAGTGGGATTACTAAACATTCCTTTGTAGCCCCTGTCAGTACAAAACAACCACTTTTGGGACTGTGAACTGGGGGCTTTCAGTTTGGTTTTGCTCTGAATTTCACTTCAGAGCACCTGAGCAGGATAGTTTAACTTCCTGCCACATCTCCTAGGCAGGACTGGCAGCATTTTCAGGAGATTAAGGTCACGCTGCTCCTTTGGGGTGTCACAGCCCAAGGGATGGGAGGCACAAGGCCAGTCCCTGCCCTTCACAGTTTCACCTGCGCTCAGCCCCAAGAGCTGCAGCTCCAAAGCCTGCCTGGCCAACAGCTCTGCCTTCCTCTCCCTCCTGCTGGCATTTACTGCACGTCCATGCCTTGTCCCACCTTCCCAGACACCACGTGGGGCCACATTTTCAAGCTCTTCTGTTTTAATAAGATGAAGGATATTGCCTTCTCCCTCAATTGAAGTGGACTTCACTGGAGTTAATTGAATTCCCTGGCAGGAAATCTCCCATGTTACAGGAGCCAGCCCCTGCCCCTCAACACAACAAATGGGAAAGTACAGATAAGAAATCCCCAGAGGAGTGACCAGCTGTGCCACCATGTATGTTAAAAGAAAGGGGATTTTGGGGTGCTGGAAAAATTCCGTCAGGGAGCCAGGATACTGGCCCCAGCCCTCTGTGCTCAGGGATGTTCCTGTGGGGCTACAGACCAAACAGTGAGAACCACCTGCCTTGATGTCCGTCCCTCATAATGAGGGTAAAACATCCCTCACCTTCTCAGACAGGTTTGCCCTACCCAGGAGGAAGGAGGAGGATCCTTGTAGGAGGGACTCCCACGTGCCACAAGTGCCACCCTTGCACATGCCAGAGCCGGGAGGATCTGGCAGCTCGGCGTTCCAAGCTGAGCCCAGCACAGGAGCAGCAGGTTCTCCTCCCTTTCCAAACCCCTGCCACGCCGTGCAACACAGCACTCAAGAGAACAAAGCCAGCAGCAGCCCCGCTCCCGCTCGGGATTCCTCCGGGAGGATCCGGCTGGCACCCAGTGACCATCTCCAGCCCGAAGCCAGACCCAGACCCCTCCATCCTTTGTGCCCTCGATCCCTGAGGGTGCACAAGCCCCCCCCCAGGCCCAGCACTCCACACCTACCACGACGTAGACAGCCTTCTCACAGGCGGTGCCCACGGGGATCCAGCCATTGGTGGCCCTGCGGCGGCTGATCCGCTGCTGCTTGGGGTGGGAATGCGCTCCGGCCGCTTTGCTGTTGGAGGCATGCAGGCAGCCTGGTGTGTTCCGCAGCCCGGACTTGGAGCCGCTGGGGGGCTTGGAGCTCTGGGGACATTCTCGGGCCATGGTCTGAGGGTCAGAGTTGGGGGTCTGCAGGTGAGGGACGGGCTCTGCAGCCGGTGGCACGCTGGGAACGGGACATCCTGAGAGCGGGTGGGCAGGAGAGGCGGGGTGTCCTGCCACCGGGATTGTGAGGTTCAGCTGGTCCAGAGACTTGCAGCCTTCTGATGGGAGGGAAGAAAAGAGACACGGATCTCGTCTGAAACAGAAAGCAACTACACAAGCAAGACCGTCCCAAACCACAGCCGCGTTCCCCCGAAATTCCCCGTATTGCATTACAGCACTGAAGACTCTCCACGCTGTAATTCCATTTTGCACTGTCACTGGATCCTAACAGCAAAGCCATTCCCGAGCCTGCGTGCTCCAGTGTCTGCCGATGACACTGCACCACAACAAACCCAGCTGAATCCCAAGGAACGCCAGCCAGGAATACACACAAGGCTGGCCAATGTCCAAAGCAGCTCCAGCCTGTCAATATGTATAAAAGAAATAAAAGGCTTATGGGAACGATGGGGAGGATTAAGTCGCAGTAGCAGCAGCAGCCAGCTCCTTCCAAAAGGTCAAATCCTACTAATCAGGGAAAATTGAGACGGTTCTCCAAATTAAGCCCAGAAAGGCAAAACAAGGTGGAACACAACTGCAAGATGCTGCACCCTCAGCAAAATTACGTCCCTGCAGCAGACACAGGAACCACAACAGGTCGGAATTCGGCTGACGCTGCCTCTCGGAGCATCCCAGAGCACCTCGCTCTGCTCAGGACTCACAAACAAGCCTCAACCCAGGCCGATGGAAGAGCCAGTCAGATTGGAATTACCTCCTGTCAGCAGGAAAAAACCTCCTGGACCCGGGTGTGACGCATCCCTGTTCCCTAACCCCTGAGTGTGCTTTTCGGGGTGACCAAAGGGCAGCTCCAGGCAGGCTCCAGGATTTGCCTCAGATCAGAGCGTGTCCCTGCAGAGCTGCTTGCAAATGTGAAGGGGAAAATCCATCCCGAGTCAAGCCGAAAAACTGCTGAGAGCCCTCGGAGAGACAGGAAGTTGTTGCCTCCTGCCTGCCCCCAACCCTCCCTGAGGGGCTGCAGGGGAGCTGTGTGAGGGATGCCAGGGACCACTATCACTGTCACCAACCCTGAGCAGCAAATGCCACGAGAACTCCCTGGAGAGCATGGACATCGGGATGTGGGCACTGGCAGGCCCACAGGACCACGGAGCAGGGAATCACCTCTTAGGTATTCTGCTTGAAAAAGCAGTTTTTAAGCTTGAGCCAAAGCAGGACGAAGCTTCACAAGAATATGTACTGAAGGTGAGGGCAGTCAGTGGTGCAGAGCTGCTCTCGCCAGACCCCTTCCAGCCTCCCCGATGGCACCAGACCTAAAGCAGCTCTCACAGCCTGTCCCACCTCGCCCCCACCATCCTGCTCTAGATCACAGCCTGATCCCTCAGTTTGGACCACACAGACCACATGAACACCTGGAACACACCAAATCAGACAGAGGTAACACACGGCATGTCAAGTTGGATCCCTCATCCCACTGCTCTCTGATGGGAGTGTGCTCTTGCAAGCCAAAGTGCTCCTTCAGTTCACTAAAATACCCCACTCTAGGAAAGGAAAATATTTCAGAGGTGCACAATCATACAAAAATCAATCCCTAGGCATAAGTCCCTGTTAATATTTTCAGAGACCTCCTTATAGGCTCCAATTCACAAACCCAAACCCAAACGATTCCGGTGTTGCAGGATTTGAAATCTATGTTGCTCACAGGAAGGAAATCACAGCAGTGGGGTGACACACTAGTAAGTATGCACTGCTGCTGCCCCTGCCAGCACTGTGGGGAACCACCAGTCCACGGGGAGGGCTGAGTTCTGGCAAACACTCCGTTTGCATCCTTCTGGCTGCACAAAATCAGAGGCACCAGCGCGTGACACGTGAGGAACAAAGTAGACTGGTATGACCTCGGGGCACTACACGGAAACTGTCAGGCCAGACCACTCTGCTGAGCTGCTTGTCTTGTGAGCATTCCACTTCCAAGAGCTCTGAAGCCACCAGTGAAGCCTGGCTGGCTGCTGCCCTAGGGAGCGGCACCACGGCAGCGGGGATATTTCGGGAGCACGGAAATGACACTTCAACCAAAGGCTCCACAGTTCCATCAGCTTCCTACAACGGAGGATGACAAAAAAGCCTTGCTCGAACCAAAACTCCATCCACCTACCTGAAAATCTGTTTTCAGTGGGTAAGTCGTGCCAGCTCTTGGCTGGGACACAAGGTTTTAGCGGGAAGATCCGGCGCTGGCACTCCCAGCAGCCGGAGAGGCAGCCTCCTCTACAGACTGACTGCTCACAGCACTGTCCAGCCTGATGGCTTTAGACAAAGTGCTGGTGTCTGATAACCCCCACACAGCACAACACTTTTAAATATTTAAAAAGTTATTTTGCAGCAGCAGCAGTAGCAGAGGCAAAGCTCTGAGGTAAAGCAGGAAGTCTGAAAAGCAGGCGGGGGACACAGGAGAGTTGGGCAGATAACAACTCACTGCACACTCTCACCCCTCCTCATTTCATGGTTTCACTGTCACACACTGGGAGCAAAGATGGGACCAAGAATTCCCAAACTAACAGCATGCCTGGCACTTAGATCACCTGAGTGAAACTTCCTACACAGCCCTGCCAGCTCTGACCCACGGAATCCAAAGAGCCTGCAGCGTCCCCCCCAGCCGGCACCGTAAGAGTTTAACAACTCCTGCTTCTTCTCATGCTTTGTGAGGATATCCAGCCCCCTCAGAGCGAGATTTTGGGATGGGAGGAGTAACTCTGGCTGGTGTGCCCCGACCCTGGGACACAGCGGGATGGCTGCGCCTCCTGGAGCGGGCAGGAACTAAACCCTGCTGGTTTTACACAGATCAAAGCTCAGCGGCAGCTCCGGCACGACAAGCCGTGAGTCACCCACCTCGCTGCCCGAACCCTTTCCCCGATCCTCCAGCTTTCCACACCAACGAGACCTTTCAGCGGGAAAAACCCTCCGGGGCTAAACACGAGGGAAAGGGAGGTGGGAGGCGGGTTCGGAGACTGAGGCACCGCGCGCAGAGAGAACCGCCAGCCCTCCTCTCCTCCCTGCCCGGGGGTGGGGGGCGTGGGGGGAACGCCGGCCCGGGACTTGCCTGCCCTTGGCACACCTTACCTGCTGCAAAAGGCATTTTGTAGGGGAAGCTGCTCCGTCCCGCGTGCACGCTGCCGACGCGGCCCTCGGGCATGTGCACCACCCCGCAGAGGCTGTAGGTGCCGAGCGCCGCTCCCTGCCCGCAGCAGTACGGGGAGCTGCACCAGTGCAGCGGCTGCAGGTGCGCGCCCGACGGCAGCGCCCCGGGAGACACCAGGAGCCCCTCGCAGGTGGCAGCCTGCGACAGCTCGTCCTTGGGGTAAACGGAGCAGGGGGAGTAGCCACTGTATCCGCTTTGGCCGTAATAAACGTAAAACCCGTTCAACGGGGTCAGATCCGAGGATTCGTAGAGGCATCCACAATCCGCGTGATTCCCGGGCACGGGCAAGGGAGGGAACTGCTGCACGGGAAAGGAAGGTTGATGGAATTCCTGTTTGGGGGTCGGGGATTTCTCTCCGGGTCTTCCGTACTCCGGTTTCATGGAAGCTTGTCCTCCCATAAGCAAAGGCAGTCTGTGGTAGAAGCCCTCAGTGCTTGCGTAGGAGCCGGACAGCGACTCGTAGGGGACGGGCTCTGTCGCCCCGTAAAGCCTGGAGGAGTCCCGCTGCTCCCCTTTCCCAAAGGTGCCCAGGGCCTGGCCCTGCCAGCCGTGCTGCCCGTCCATTTTTAAGCTGGCCGCTTCCTTCTTGGATTTGACACAGTTCTTCCTCCCGGCTTTGGCCCATTTGAGTGTGGATTTCGAACAGTGGTTCTCGGATTTGCCCTCTCCATCCGGTTTACTCTGCGGCTTCAGGGGCTGGTCTTTCTCGTGGGTCAGCTTGAGGAAGGCCACGGCGTTGAGGCTGGCCAGTCTCTTTGGGGTGGGATGGTAGGAGACGGCTCCATCCTCCCTCTTTGTCCCATCGTCAAAGACCTCGTCCAGCGAATGCTCACAGCTGTTGCATTTCTGACTGGGCTCGGGCCGGTTCTTTCCTTTCCCAGCTTTCACAGCTGCTTTCTCCGGAGCAGGCCAGTTGTCCCCAGCTTTGCACTGCAAGCCCTTCAGGGCACAGTCCCCGGAGGGTTTCCCGGAGTCCCTGCGGAAGCGCCTGCTGGATAACAAGCCATCGTCCCGTTCGAAGAGCAGGTTGTTCACGGCCTCCGCATTCAGCGAGGCCAGGCGGCGCTTCCTGGGCTCCGAGGGAGCAGCATCGAGCTCCTGCTCCGGCCCCGGGGAAGTCGCTGAGCCCTTCTCCCCAGGCGGATCGCTCTTCCCCGCTCCCACGGGCTGCCCTTGTTCAGAGAACAAACCCTCCATCCAGCTGGGAAGGTGCTTTTTTTTACAGCTCTGGCTCTGCTTGGACAGAGACCCGGCCACATCCTCCAGCCGGGTGAGCAGCACCTTGCAGGTCTTTTTGCTGACGGAGGGGAGCAGGCGCCGGCGCAGCGGGTACGTCTTGCGCACCTCGCGCAGGCTCTTGCCTTTGTGAGTCCCCACGAAGCCCCCGGGACCGCTGGGAGCCTCGGAGGCGTCTCCGTCCCGCTGCTCCCTGCGCTCCGTGCCGGCCCTGTCCATCCTCCTGCTGCCCGAGGCCTGGCCAGCACAACCCGCTGGGTGTTTCAGAAGGAAAAGCTGTTTCTTCCGGGCATGCGTCATAGGATCAATGTCCAATCCTGGGAACGGACAGGAGAAAACAGCCATTAATGTCGCCGAGAGGGACCCGGCTCCACACACAGCACCCACTGCCAATCAGGGGACATTTGGGGAAGCTGCTCGTCTCTAGACAGCACAGCCCGTTTGGGTGATGGCCACTTAAGTCAATTAAGAGACAGGACGCAATTAGATGTGGTTTAATATCAGGCCGTGGAACACGACAGTAATTAAAAGCAAGGTGGTGATGGCAAATGCCACAGCAGCTGGGAAGAGCAGGGAGCTGTTCACCCAGCTCCCTCTTACGCTGGTGCTGTTCCCAACGCTTTACAAATTCCCATCAAGTCTCCGAAATCTGAAGGCTGGTACAGGGCACGGAGAAGAAATAAAGCCCAGTCTGTGATTTCCTGCATGTTGGTACAGGCAGGCTCTTCCAGGGCTGTTTTGTGCGACAAGTAGGCAAAAGAAAAACAAAAAGTCCACCCACTTGGGGGGAAAAGAAAACTTGGGCTATTAAACAGAGACCTGCCAACATTAATAAATTAAATCCATGCAAATCCCTGTGCAGGTTGGGACCTGGCTGCATGCTGCTCCTGTCATCGTGTTTTAGAGAAGCTGGGGACAATTAACACCAAATCACGTTGGGCAGGGAGGCCCCAAAGATACATTCGTGGGAGGAAAAAGAAGCCCCAGCTTCCCAAGTTATCCAGCAAAGCAAGCCTGATTCTTAATGAAGGAATCCAAGAATTCTGCAGAGCGAAGGAGCCCAAGTTCCCATAAGAAGCTGCAGGTCCAGCGCTAAGACAGGATATGAGTGGGTGATACCAAGCCATAAACATTAAAAATGTCAGTCTAAATGAGTGATAGTGGAATAGATTTAATTAAGTCTGTCTGAGCATCAGAAACAGCAGAAAAGGACAATTACTTGCCTTCAATGGTATTTACAAAACAGTCAAATTCCATTTATTGGCACCAAAGAGCTGATCTTTGTAGCAGCATCCACCTAGGAGGAGTTTGCTCGTCCCTGAATCAGGATTTGGGCTGGAACTCCCCTCAATTGACACTGGTCTGCCACTTTTGAGGCTTTTAATTAAAGCTCCTACTGCTTTGGCTGTGATTAGAACAAAGCTCCCGAATTACAAGAACTGTTCATTTGATATGGTTTAATCAAGCTGATAATTAGATTATCTATTTGAAATAAGCCTGATGTGTTTTAATTGACTTGCTTATATATGTGTTAACTAAGGGAAATTCAGGGATTGAAACCCACTGGGGTTTGCACAGTGCTCTCCTGGATGTCAGGCCCTTCCTGGAGGGTTTTGGGGTGACTTAATCCTTCCACCCTGTTAACCACAGGATATTTCCCAAGGCTGGTGCCCCGACAGGAGAGCTCGGTGGGGAGCAAACACTGATGCACCAGCATGTTTTTCTTATCAGAAATTCGGGAATTAGGAAGATCAAGTCAGATTTTCCTCCAAAAGTGGAATTCTTCTTGCCCGAGAGGCCAAGCTGAGCACACACCACCTCTGGAGTTTGGAAGAGGACTGTAATTTAAAAACTGGCTGGGGCAGAGCAGGGTTTGGCAGGGGCACACCAGGCATCCTGCAGATCCATGCCCTGGGGAGGACAGCTCTTCCCAGGCTATATGGACCAGTGGTTTCCTTGCAACTCTTATCCTAATTTCTGTTACTCTTAATGAGAGCCTGAGCCTCTGGCAGAGGGGAAAACCCCAAAATAAATAGCCATGGTTTTTCCTAACCCAGTAGCAGCCACCTCGTTCTCCTCAGGCTTCTGCAGGCAGGAGCCTGACCCACCCTGGCACCACAACATCCTGAGGGTTTAGTGCCCAAATAAATCGGAATATTCATTAAAAACCAGGCACTATAGATGTGACTTTGTTCACATCACGGCTGCTCTAAAGATAGGAAAAGCCGGGGGGAGATAGAGGGAAGGGGTTTAAGAGAATCGGGATTGTTCAGCCTGGGGAAGAGAAGCTCCAAGGTGACCTAACTGAGGCCTTACAGTGCCTGAAGGGGCTGACAGAAAAGCTGGAGAGGGGCTTTGGACAAGGGCCTGGAGTGCCAGGACAAGGGGGAATGGCTTCCCACTGCCAAAGGCAGGGTTAGATGGGATATTGGGAAGGAATTCTTGGCTGTGAGAGTGGGGAGGCCCTGGCACAGGTTGCCCAGAGAAGCTGTGCCTGCCTCTGGATCCCAGGAAGTGTCCAAGGTCAGGATGGACAGGGCTTGGAGCAACCTGGGCTACTGGAAGGTGTCCCTGCCCATGGCAGGGGGTGGGACTGGATGGGCTTTAAGGTCCCTTTCCACCCAAACCATTCCAGGATTCTACAATTCATTGCCAGCACCTAAGGAACAAAACCCATCCTTAGCATGCTGGACTTCCCAGAAGCCTTTCCACACCTCCCCAGTTACCTGCAGTGCGTGGATTGCTTTGGGAGGGGGATCCTCCTGCTGCCAGCTCACCTGTGATGCAGCAATCCCTTCTCTTCCCCCGGCACAACACAGACACGGAGCTTTTGAACGCTGCTCAAAGCTCAGTCATCTGACAGGCAAGTGCATCATCCCTCAAATCAGAGCCCTGCCGAGCCTCCCTCCAGCGAGCATTGTGCTCCTGCCAGCTGGGAAGGGAGAGTGGCGGAGCTCTTCATCCTCTCTCCACCTTTGTACTGCTGCACAAAGCAAAAAAAGCTGCCTGTGCCCACAACTCTTCCAAGAAAGCACAAGATAACGTGGAGAACTGAAAGTGAAGGTGCTGATGCCAGAACCCCCCCTTTACTGCTCGTGGCTGAGGAGCTGGATTAACGGGGAGAAGACACTGAGGTGTAACTCTGCGGGAAATTAAAGTTCCAAGCAGCTGCATCCAGAGCCCACCAGGAATTTTCCAGCTAGCCTCCTTATCATACAATGCCAGCATGGTTTGGGGTGGAAGGGACCTTAAAGCTCATCCCATTCCCACCCCCTGCCATGGGCAGGGACACCTTCCACTAGCCCAGGTTGCTCCAAGCCCCGTCCAGCCTGGCCTGAAACACTTTCAGGGATCCAAGGGCAGGCACAGCTTCTCTGGGAAACCATTCCCTGGCAACTCCTTCCTCAAACTGGACTAAAACTCAAAACAGTTCTGAAAAACTACTCCTGACAGCTGTCGAACCCAAAGCAGATCAGGATAAAGAAAAATCAAAACCACTTCCAATTTTCTGCTAGAATAAAACCATGACCCAAACAGCAGACTCAGGAGAGAGTTGATGCCTCATTAGCAGGAAAAGGAGCAAGTGTGATAACAGCTGCACGTTCTGTAATCACGCAGCTGCAGCATCTGTCTCTCCCTCTCCAGCACTTGATTGCAAGGGAAATTAAAGGAACTAGTCTGGGACTACCCCTTCAAGCCCCATTTCCTCTCCAGAGCTCCACCACGGAGACGCACGTTCCGAGGAGACGGTGCCAAAAGCACAGAAATTAAAGCTTTTAAAGCTCCTAATCCATTTGGCACTTCAGTGATACACAAAGAGTTACGACAACACCAACCTCCTCTCCGTGCACGGCACCGCTCCGACGGCTCCCAGCTCCGTCTGCTTGAATCCCATCGATCCACTTCCATTGGAACAGCCTACGCTGTGACAACAGCCCTACAACTGCGAGTGTCTGGAGGATTGGTTTCCTTCTCCCTGCTGCTTTCACAGGAGACTAATTCCCAGAGCTCTGAGGAACGCGTTGCACGGAGGAAGCCTCCCAGGAAGCCTCTGGGAAATCCGGATAAACCTCAGCAGCATCAGGAATCCCCGGCTGAGTTACCCAAACACCGTGCACATCCCGAGAGTGGAAACACCGCTTCCATCTCAAATGTTCAGAAAATCTGTCACTGTTGGAGCCTGCAATTTGTCTTCCCTGGGTCCAGCCTGATTTTTCTCCGGAGACCCATCAAAAGCTCCACCATCCACACACTCCAGAGAAAATTGTTTACACAGAGCTCATTAGGCTGCAGAAAGGGCTGGTTTCTCTCACTCGTCACCACAGCCCTGACCATTGGACCAGAGCAGGCTTAGATGGGATACTGGGAAGAAATCCTTCCATGTGAGGGTGGGGAGACCCTGGCACAGGTTTTGCCCAGAGAAACTGTGGCTGCCCCATCCCTGGAAGTGTCCAAGGCCAGGTTGGACGGGGCTTGGAGCAACCTGTGCTGGTGGAAGGTGTCCCTGCCCGTGGCAGGGGGGTGGGAATGAGATGGTCTTAAAGGTCCCTTGCAACTCAAACCATTCCAGCATTCTGTGATTGTATAAAATACCAGATATATTAAGCATCACCCGTTCATACAGAATTGCCTGTTACAAGTTTAAATAGGTTCTGTATAAAGCTGCCATGTGACAGCAACACAAACAACACCCCAAAAGATCCCTACAAGTAATTTGAAAAACCAAGTCAAAAATACTCCGGGACAGGTTTCGCAGTCGTGTTTATAGAAGGAGCACCAGCTCTGCCAATCAAGTTAATCAAGGTTTAAAAAATAATAAAATAAAATATAACCCACACAAGCCCTGCTCATCTGATTTTTCATACATGCAAAATGCAAACTGGATTCCTCGGCGGCAGAAGGCTGAGTCTGGTAAAATATCAATCACATGTCACTTTGCTCAGATAGCTCTGGCACCCTTCCTGCTCTGCAGACAGAAGATGGAATAACAGATTATTCCCAAGGCTTTATTTTGATGAACAAGGTGTGAGGTTTTTCTCTAGTAAATATTAAAGCTCTTCTACGTATTATACTCGCACCCTTCCACGGCTGCTTTAGGAGCCTCCTCCAAGCTGCTCAGCCTAAATAATTCAGGCTGTGCCGTGATTCCGTGTACTACACGTGTGGCTGCAAACTGCGCTGCCGGTGGGAATTCCAAGGGCAGGTGCATCCCTGCCAGCTCCTCTCCGTGTCACGGAGCTGTCGCTGCCGTCCTGTCTCCCTGGATCCGGATTTCCCTTCTCCTCTCTCCAGTAAATCGCCCCCCCACAAAGCTCTC